CCCCCCCCCCCCCCGCTCCGGTTGAGTCCAACCCTCTCCTCCGCCACCACCCAACCGAAAAAAGGGTCTATTGTATGACCAAAGCTCTGAGTTGGCCGGGGGGGCATCGGTAACGAGCCAAAGGTCCACGACATGTAGCGCCCACGGGTTACGCGGTGTGCTCCAGTGGCGGGGGGAGGGGGAGAGACCAGTCTCGCTAAGAACCATCGCTGTAGCAGTAAGAGGGCCGTAGACATGGCACCAACCACGACGACTTTCCCTGAAAACAAATAACAATCAATTAAATTTTACTTCTTCACTTCTTCACAATCAAATCCATTGTGCTGTGAACCTTCTGATTTCTCTTCTCTTGCTCTTCGGTCCCTAATAGTGAACCAGGTCAATACCTGTAGATCGGCGAGGTCGAGTTTCTCGAGAAGCGACACCGGCCAGCCGTGGGTGGTGGAGTAGTGCCACCGAATCGAGGCGTTATTGACGGAGGCCACCATGCGCCCGGTCAGACGAAAATTGATGAAGTCCTAGGGGAAGTCAAAAGGGTGGGGAACCGGAGAGCAGGGCGGGGGAGGGGGCGCGAACTCATGTAAACGCATGCTGTAGTCGGTAGACCATTGACCTCGCATTCTTACAGAGTCAAACGACGAGTGTTCGCGCGCCCAGGTTTCGTTTCACAAGGATGAAGTAGAAGATGGTCATCATTCGTGCGTCTGGAAAGGCGCGCGCGAGGGGTCACGTTGCTGCGCTCAATCTTGAGAGCATCAGCCTCTCAGCATGCTCTTCAGGTCTTCCGGGTTGATCGTTTCGTCTTTTGAAGCACGCGTTGTCCCCAAGTGCGAAGGAAAGCCTTAAGGTTCTCTGGGGGGGGAGGGAGGAGTCAGCGATAGGCCAGTTGTTGATCGGAAGCACTCTCGAGAATAACCGACTGCGAAGAGAACCTGACAACATGGCAACATCTTTGTATAACTGCACCGAGGTGGTTTTCCACACGCGAAAATGGGCGTGGGGGGCGGGTGACCAGCAAACGAGAGGAGGCGATGCTTGGTTGTCGAATGCCGTATTTTTACCATACGTAGAGCAGGGGAGCGACTGAGTGAATGAACGGACGTAAACAAACATCGAAAGATAGGCGAAGGCATATTCCGATGTTACCTGGTATTCGCAAACGTAGTGCGCGCGCGCGAACAGCTCCGGCTCGTTTTTCTTGAGCCAGAGCGCCTGGCGAACAACGGAGAGGATACAGCGGGGGAATTCAAGAAAGGGGCGATGAAGGAGGCGACGTTCTATATCGAGGGAGCCCAAGCCAGGGCAACGCAACTAGGCCGCTGTTGCGAACACTTGCTGCCGTTTTTTTGTTTCTTGAAGAGCTTCCGTTGCACACAGTACTTCCTCGAACGCAAGGCCCCCATTCAAAATCCGATACAACGAAATGATTCAAGCAGCAGCAGCAGCAGCAGCAGCTGCGGCGGGCCAAAAGAAAAACGATAGTGATTACGGTTGCAAACAAGTATTCGAATCATTAACCGGCTTGGTCTCAACGAACCAGCACCTCCCCCTCCCCCTGACATGCATCCCAACCGGCAAGCACAACCCTTTCTCATCGTCCGACGTCGAAAAAGGAGTGAGAAAAACAAACCCCGGGGTCGTACCGAAGCAAGGCAGCTAGCCCACAAACCTTGGGGATCATCCACTCCGCAGACACGGGGCCCCTTCCCCCGGAGTTAACCCTCAAGGCGTCGTCTCCGGTCTTGGCCACCTGCTCCGCGCAGCCCGCGGATCGCATGTCCATCCACAGGAGGGAGGGTCGCAGGGGACGGCCCTGGTGTTTCGACGCACGAGGACGTGTTATTGGTACGCGTCAGTTGCCTCGCGTTGAGGTAGGCCGGGAGGGGTAGGCGGCAGCGGGCACGGCGATTACACGTTTTCTTTCAGGCAGCGGTGTTGGCGGCGGAACAACTGCAGTCTCGTTGGATTGTTTCTTGTTCTCAACTAAAGCGGAAGGTTGACGTGCAGGCGAAGTCAAAACGGTATTTTCGCTCTACAACGACACAAAAAGGCAAACCACCAACAGGAACCTTTGCCAATGATACCACGGGAAAGCATGCCCCCCCCCCCGATCTCTCTCCCTCCCTCCTACCAACAATGTCTCCTTGCCCCCCACATCTCGGCCTGTGCCGTCCCTCCCCCCCGGCTCCCTCACATTTGCGTCGAGAGCCACGACGGAACAGCACGTTGTGTCCACCCCGATCGACACGATGTCCGCCGCCGATACCACCGACTTGGACACGGCTTCCCTCACGGCCTCTCCTAGCCCCTTCCACCACGCGTCGGGATTCTTGTTACCAAGTTTAGAGCGGGTGCGTGGATGACGGAAAATACGTCAGTACGTACAAACAATAGACAGAGCCTGGCCCTCGGGTGACCTGTCCGAACGCCCCAACTACAGTAGAGGTCTAGGTCCGACACCCAGAGGGAATCTATGCGTAGTGCCGCACCTGCCCACCACACTGCTTCTGTCGGGAGAGTGTGCCGTGCGGTACGATGCAAACCGAGCGTGCGGGGCCCTACTATTGTAGCAGACGCAAGACGCTTTCGTTCGTCGACATGACATGGTACACGGTTGGTGCGGTACAATGACGAGACGTACGGTTGCCAGGATCCCACACTCTCGGCTTGCATCGTGCCCCACGACGCGCTCGCCTCGGATACAAGCAGTGCCGTGGACAGGGAGGCACCACGTACAAATCCCCCCTGGCCCTCTGGGGGTGAGACCTAGACCTGCATACAGCAGTACTACTGCTGTAGGTGGGGGTTGTCTGCCTGCCACGCAAGGGCGGAGCCGACGTCGTAGAGGGCCGAATGACGCTCCGCCGTTGCTGTCGGACGACATGACAAACAAGTCAAACACTTTCGAGATGACCGGACGTATTTGGGTCGAGCCTTGGGACAGGCCGCAACCTTCCGTTACCATGACATGAAAACAAAAAACCGGGGGGTGTCATACGGGTGCTATCGGATCGGCGGTGTTGAATTCGTTTATGAGTTGGTTGCTTCGTTTTTCTTGATGCTTTTGCGAGCGGGTGAAGTGCAAGCAATGCCAATTCAGAGTAATTTTCAGGAGCATGACTCACGCATCAATCTGTGACGTCAAGCCTGCTATGATCTGTCATTCCTATGGTATTTACCAAACTCCGCTATACGGTACGCGGAATAAACACGCGGTTTTCCGCCGCCGTCCCGCTTGGTACGCAGCCTGTAAGTCGCCGGCGGAGGAATGCACTCGGTTCATGGGCTACACCAGGGGATGCATTCTGCAGTGTCTTTGTTCGGGTCTGGACAGCTACCGCCTGAGCGCCGTGGTCATGAGCGAACATAATTGAGTAGTGATTCCGTTCGTCTTACTAATAACAAGGACATCCTGCAGGTAGCTGTGCCTTACGGTTCGGATTGTACATGTAGCTGTAGGAGACATTAGAGGATCACTTTGAAGCACCCTCTCCACCCACCGGCGTAGTTTCGTCGTGAACGGTTGTATGACGCACAGGAGTTGCACGAGGGACAAATCTTCCAGCTAAGGTCGTGATTAGCGATTAACACCAACGAAGCCACCCTTCAGCTTCAAGCGCTGTACTGCTGTGTACGTACACAACGGAGCCGCGCTGTAAACACGAAAGATGCGCCGCGCCTTCCTACGGTACCTGGTACTTTGCATCATGTTTTGTTTTCATGCCTGCAGCAGCCCTTCATACTTCTATACCCTAACGTTGCCCAAGACCATGCGCCAACCGCTATGTTGCACTCGCTGCTGCAAGGTGGAACGTTACAACTGCGGGAATACAGCACTCCATGCACACGTACACATGCAGCGCCTTTGCTTGCTCTTGGATGATTTTCAAATTGAAAACAAATTGTGGTGTTGAACATTCTCACTTGCTCCGCCCACCCCGGCTGCGGGTACTGCGTTGCATACGCGCAGCTGGAGAAGGCCAAGGCATTTCCATCAAGGTCGAACACGCCAGCACGTATACCCTCCGTGCCTCCATCTACTCCGATGACGTATGGAGGACCCATCGCTAATGAATGATCATGATGCTGCGATGCTGCCCTTGCTTGGCCTGTGGTTGCACCGCTCTCCCGGGGGCCCCGGAAGATGATACAGGGGGTAGTGTCTGCTTCTGTGTGCCCCCCGCGTCAGATCTCAGGTTCGAGTCATACCGCTTTGCTCAGACAGAGAGACGGACGAGGTCTAGACGTATCGGCAGCTTCAACTTTCAGAACCCGACCAAGACACAGACACAAGCCCATCCCCAACAGGAAGCTTACTCCTCCCCCTGGAAGCAGCCCAGGAGACAGTGCAGCGAAGAAGAGCACATGCATGAGCAGTATCATAGACGCTCAACATCAGGTACTTGTGTTGCAGCAGCGGCGTCCCATTGCTGCTCCTGTAGTTCATCAGACCCGATGATGAGCGCAACAAGCCCAGTAGCCTGCCGCTGTTGCTGCCCCACGAATGTAGAGCGGCGACGGCGTCCTCGACGACGAGACCAGGACGAGACGCAGCGGGAGAAGTCCAGCAGCGCCAGCAGGAGCGTCACGCGAGGGAGCAGGCGACGCCGGCAAGGTGCGGGCCTGGCGACGACCGTGCTCTTCGCCTCGTCGACGGCAGCTGCCTCCGCCGCTGCTGCTACCGCTGCCTCGTATTCTCAGGACATCCCGTCCTCGCGCATGGCGAGCAGGAGCGCGTCGTTGCATCGCCACCACCGAAGAGAAGCGGCCTTCGCTTCGCCGGCAGGCATCGCCGAGCCCATCGGCCGCTGGGCCGCAGCTGGCTGCCGCCGCCTGGCCTCGGACATGACACAGCACGGCGCTGCCGCCGTGACGGCCGGGGTAAGGAGCCGGGCGACCAGGTTTCTTCTCCGCGGGGGATTGCGCGATCGGAGCGGTCACGCCGATGGCGGCGGCAGCAGCAGTACTGCGGCAGCTAGCAGCAGAGGGCTGCGAATGATCGCTGGAGGCTTTTCGGGTAATTTCATGCCGCAGGACGAGTCCTGGAAGCGGGAGAGGAAGTCAGCTCGGCAGGAACACAACGAGAGAACAGGCGACGGCGGCGGCGGTGGCGGCGGCGGCGACAGCACGCCGCTGGCATCTTCGCAGTCCGACATCGGGGGCCATTCCGACCCCGCCGCGTCCGAAGAGGACGAGGTCTACTCGTGGGCGCCCAAGCAGAACGGGCAGGGGTCGTGGGACGGCGGCGGGGGTTCGGCTGCTGCTACCCTCCGCCGTCGGGAGGACACCACCCCCGTCTGGCGCGTCGACCTGAAGCGCGGCGTTTACACCGGAGACGTCAAGGTCAAGCAGGTTAGTGGTTGCGGTGTGTTTTGCACGTTTTTTCTTTTGCCGCGATAGCAATGGTAAGGGTGACACAACGCGCTATGTACGCCGTAAGTGGTGGTGCGCCTCGCGGGGGTGGGCGTTGTTCCGTGCTGCTGCTGCTGCCGGATGCACGATGAGTCATGCGAGGAAGCGGCAAGACTCGTGTCGAAACGGTCAGACGGTGGGGAATGACATTGCACTGCTGGTCGCCTGCAACGCTTGTCGTTACGCCCAGACGGTCGCTGCGGTGGTAACCTCGGGAACCTACTAGTTGCCAGGTTGGCGTTCGACTACCGTTCTCGGGATCGAGAACAATCGTTGAGATATGGTCAGCGTGCATGTTCTTGGACATGACCTTTCACGACAGATGACGGTGACGACCGTGGCAAGAGGCGGGGCAAAAAAAAAAAAGAGAGAACATCTGTTGTGTGACCTTCCTCCTGCGCAACCCCGGCTGACACGCCAAAGATGCCTCATGGGTTGGTGTATACCGAACGGCGAAGTTGTAGACGGCCCAGGAATAGATGGGACGAACACACACAGCAGCACTGACTAAGACAACCTTTACCGTTGAGTCGTACTCGCTTCCGCCAGATTTGCCTTTTGACAGTTTTCAGAAGTACTACACTTTTTGTCGAATGGGACGGGGGGGTTGACACATTCCTGCTGATTCATGAGAGGTGCCACGGCTTTTGCCACAATCCTCGCACACAAGACCCGAACAAAGCCCCAGTGTCCTTGGGGTTCGCTTCCACAGTACGTCGAAAGAAGGTGTCATCGGCACATGGGTGTATCTCACATCACGAAGAACAGAGAAGAGAACAGCTTTCGTAAATACCGTAGCAGCTGTCAAGTGGGAACAATCTTCCTCGTTAGTATCATGGTGCAGATAATACGCTGTACTGGAACCTCGCAGCAAGACATGATTGAACCAGGCTACATCCGTATCATTTCACGAACGTGTTTGTATCACTCGCCCAGTACTCTCGAGGTTTGTCCAGCCTTACCCTCAGGCCTTTCGTCTTATACCCGCGGCTGATCCCGTTGATTCTTGCCCGCGCGTGCCTGGAACTTTATCTCCCATCAGCCGCTAGGTCTTGACCTGGCGGAGTGCAGCGGGGGTGTCTGCGTGTCCAGGGTCCGAGCGGGGTCCAGCGCGGAGCGACAGGGGGTCCGGTACGTCTGATGTATCCGCCAGGACCCCGCATGGGGTGGGATATGGAGATTTTTTGCGCAAGTTTGTCATCATGGATACATGGTCGCGACGCTTTTAGTGTGGTATGCGCCTCGATGTATTTCTTACTTTCATGGCAAGAATGACTTGTTGGGGGGGGGGGGGGGGGGGCGTTCGCGCCGTGTGTTTCAGCATTTTTTTTTTCAATTTATTTGGGGTTTGAGTACCTCGCCGATTTGCATCGTTCGAGACCCGTTGTTTTTGCCTCGTCTTTGTGCATCGACTGTTGAACATTCGAGTCCGCTCGTCCTTGTTTTTTTTTCTTGCACTACCGTTGTTCAGAGTTGGCGACCGGATCGTGGCGACGAGCGCAACGCTTGGGGACGTCCTGTGGGAGAAGAACACGGTCGACGGGATACTCTCGGCAGTAGGCACCCGCCTCGTGTTCTCCAACACCGTCACGCTGCGGGTCGAGAGAGCGCTTGACGCACAGCAACTGGCGGCGGCGAGGTGATATAATATACTTGTTGTTCTCTTATTCGTTTGTCGTGGGAGGCGTTGTGGGAAGCCAGAGTGGATCTGCCGCGGGAAGGGGTTGAGATGCGAGGACAAGCTCGATGGAACGTCGCTTGAGCAGGCTTCAGGCGGCGGCTTGACTGCTCTCCTCGGGGCTGACGCTGCTGTTGCGCGCTTCTGATACAACCACCGGGGCAGTCATGCTGTTGTTTTGTCGTCCGTTGTTAGCCTCTTGCAAGCTGGGTACGATTATGTGTGACACTGCCGGCTGCAGACCTGCCCAGTGCGAAACCGAGAAACCCCAGCCTTATCACCCCTTCCCCCTGCCCCGCGTAAGCTGAACTTCACCCACTCATGACACCCCTCTTTTCCCTTCCCCCAAAAAATTCCCGAGAAACAGGTTCCGGGAGTCGGTGACCCAGACGTACGAGGTTACACTCCAGAGGCCCCCCGGGCTCATCCTGGAGCAGGTGTGGGACCCTGCGGGCAGCGGGCAGGCAGACAGCGTGGTCGTGGCGGGCATCGTCCCGGGGAGCCCCGCAGAATTGAGCGGTGCCGTGGAATGCGGGGATAAGGTGGTGGCCGTGAGCAGTTCCATCGGGAACATCATGTGGCCCTACAGGTACAGTCCGGGTAGGTTGCTAGTATTGCTGCTGTTTTTTTTTTCGTGGCACAGGTGTGTGGTTTTGGAGCGGGACGGAGAGGGTGCATAAAAGGTGGGTGGGAATGTCCTCGTTTTTTTCGCGCCGCTTACGTGAATAATGGGTGTTTCATGGCCCTTTTTTTTTCTGCTGTTCCACATGTTTTGGCTTGCGGTAGGAACGAGGACGGTAGGAACGAGGACTGGCTCATCTGCACCATAGCACGATTGGTATGGATGCATGCTTTGCCGGGTGTGGAGAACAAGAGGGAAAAATGATCTTGTCGGACAATAGGTCATTCGTATCCTCATCTAGGCGTCGATGCCAAACGTCTCTGCTGCCCAAGAGCGGTCTCCGTGAAGCCAATTTTCAATACTCTACCAGCTCAAGAAACCAGGAGGGGGTGCACAGTGAGTGTGTATCGTGCGGAGAAGGGTTCCCTCGAGCATGAGCTGTGTGTTTCGCAGTTTCAAGTGTAGCACGCCTTTTCCCCCGCACAAGCAATGCTGCAACACAAGAAGGCCTGGTGTTGTTGTGTTGTGCTGCTGAACCCTGGCCTGCTGCAAGAAGCAAAGGGATGCTTGCGACCCCCCCCCCCCCCCCCCCCCCCCCCCCCCCCCCCCCCCCCCCCCCCCCCCCCCCCCCCCCCCCCCCCCCCCCCCCCCNACCCCCCCCTCCCCCCCCTCCCCGGATTCCCCAGTTCCGTGACCACCGATGTATATTGTTGTTGTCGTTGTATGTATGCATACCAGCCGTAATATTGATACGCCGTTTCCAACGGCGCTCCGGCAGGCAACTGGAGGGTGCACTGAGCGCGATCGAGCGGCATATCGGGAGCACCATCAACATTCGGTTTCAGCGCACTGTCCAGATGGGGGCGTGGAAGGACCCTTCCAACACGGTGCGACATTCACTTTGTGTTCGCGTTGTAAAAAAAAAATGTCCGTGCTATCTCTTGCCGTGGTTTTGATGTCTGTGGGGTTCCCTTGCCTATCTCCCGTTCGCTATTGTCAGCCTCGCCGAAGTGGGCCTAAGTTCTCTCTGCTTGTTGCAGGGACCAACACCCTTCGTTACAGGACGAGGGGCAGTAGTTTGTCCGATTTCAAGAACCTTTGTATTCCTAAAACTTGTATGCAACGATCTCCTATCTATCCTCTCCCCCGGCCCCCAACCTGTCTTGCAAAATATCCTCTCCCCCGGCCCCCAACCTGTCTTGCAAAATATCCTCTCCCCTCCCCCCCTTCAGGACACGGACAGAACGATCGACAGCACCCTCAAGGTCTTCCGCGAGAGAGACATCGCCGTGGCCACCTCTACCGGCGCCGGCCCCCTCGCCGCCGCCGCCGCCGCCGCTAAGAGCGCGGGTTTCGACGTCGACGGAGGCCGGCGGGTGA